TTTTTTTTTTTTTTTTTTTTTTTTTTTTGAACAATGAAAACATCCCAGAAATAAAAACCTTGTTATAAGATGATGTTTTAATGCGTTAAGTTAACAGAACCTTTCAGGTGAAATAAAACGAATATTGGAAAAGCTGATGGATGTGATACGGCTGGCGTCGCCTTTTGCTGGTTTTTAGGAAGCTGAAATCGTTTTTAAAAGGCAGAGCTGGAGCTCAAGTTTTACCAATGTTGGTTAAGAAATATAACTAAGTTCAATTTAATCCTGTTTGTGTTTTAATTTATAAATAAAACATTCAATTAATTTTCTGTTGGGATAAAAATGTTCTGTAAACCTTGCAGATTTTATTTTATCGCAAGTGCTCAGATTCTTTTGTTTTTTAGTTCTTAAACAGAAATGTCAGGCCACTAAGACCTGGGTTGGGCTTTTCTGTTCATTGTCTCTGCATCAGTGCGGTTTGACACGAGGTTCTGCTGAGGTTCTGCTGAGGTTCTGGTTGGGCCGGTTGCTTCACAGCAGCCTTCAGGTTGTCTGGATCGGCGGTTCTGGTGTTTCTTATCTTCCTCTTAATGATCCATGAGGGAAAAAAAAATCTGGATTCATAATATAATATAATCTCTGCTATCATTGTTCAGGATTAAACCCGTAAAATGAAAATTACAAAAATGTTTCATGTTAAATTTTCATTTTAATTTCAAATGTTGAAGCACAAACAGATTAAACAGTTAGCAGAGCTGGAAAAGCTGCAATGCAAGCTCTGATTGGCTGAACTGGTAAATAAAATACTGCTGTCATGTTTATTATTTTTAATTATACAGACAACAGGCAAGTCTTTATATTTTATTGTTTACATCAGAATAAAAAGTGAACACAGATTATATCAGCTGCATTATGAAAGACATTAAAACTAGATTATTAAATCTTGACCCTTATGGACGAGTGAAGCTAATAGTGAATTAATCTCACGCTCAGGTTGCTGTTAGATGCTTTTACGCCATCTAGTGGTCGAAGTGTGCAATGGGCCGACCGCATTAAAGTTTGCTGATTAACTCTGTAAATAATCCTGACTTAGGATGACAAATGTCTTCTATGAATAATGTATGAAAACAGGTGAATGTACCCATAATTCTAAGTTATTTCTCATTTGGTGTTTGAAGCTTTTTAGCGACAGCAACTAAGGAATGAAAATTAGTAATACTAAGGAGCAAAACGTAGAGTTGTAGGATTTACACCTATAAACGTATTTTATAGTTGTAAATGTATTTTGATTATGCAACTTTGATTCCAAATATCACTTTAGATTACAAGAACAAATATTTCTATAGTGAATTATTTTCATAAGTATATATAACCTAACACATTTTTTAAATTGTAAAATTGGATAAAAGCATTTAAGACGGTATGTAAAGGGTTATTTTATTTTTAATTTGGCTCTATTGGAAACCCTGCAAAATGATTGGACTGACAGCAAAAACACCAGTAATTAAATTTATGCACAATTAGATATAAATTCAGTGATTATGAGTTAGAACTAGAATATTATTCAGACGGTCAGAATGATCATTGGATCTGATCTTTGAAAGTCTTGCTTTCACACAGTCTGGACACCTTCCAGGTTTTCCAGAAACTCCCGGATCTCTGGGAGCATTCTGGACCGTCCGCGGTCTCGGATCCTCTCCAGCGCCTTGATGCTGTTCATCCGGGAGAAAGACTCGTGGTTAATGGCTGCAGCCTTCATGTGATACTCAATCGACTTGTTCCATTCCTGCCGGTCGAAGTTGAGGTACTTGGCGTAGCAGTTGTAAACACACTGTTGGTCTGAAGGATCCAAAGATTTCTGCAGCAACTCCTTGTAGATCTGATCTGGTTTCATCAGCCCACGACCAGACTTGGCCCACACACTTGCAAAGTCCAACTTCTTTGTTAAACAAGACTCAGGGTAGCAAGAGATGACATCCTCCAACAAGCTGATTGCTCGGTCAAACATTCTTTGACTTGGGCGTCCGTTTCTGGAAAAAACTATCTTCCATTTGTAGGCAAGAGCGGCACATCTCTTCAGGTACCGGGAATCTGGATCCTTTGTGAGGGCCCTTTCTGCCACGTCGATCACATCGTCGTAGGATTCGATTTGTCTGTAGATCCTCAGCAGGGGTTTGATGCCACTGTAGCTGCTGACAGGGTTCAGTAAAATCTTCTCGGACAACTCCTGTGCTTCCTCTTTAACTTGCTCACCTCTCTTGGCTCGTTGTTTCAGGTCGACGGCAGCGAGGTACAAGTTTTCTGGATCTTCTTCTCTGGCTACCCTTAGATCCTCCCAGACGTCAGGCTCTGGTTCCACGTCACGATGCTTGAAGGTGCTCAGCAGACCGATCATACGGCTGCTCCGCCACTCCACGGTGTCCGGCTGCATCCGGATGGCTCTCTGGAAGAGCTCTAAAGCCTGCTGCTGCTTCTCTTTATCAAACCTCATCAGGGTCCAGGCCTTTTCAGCTAAGACCTCTGGATAGAGATCTCCCTTCTTCTTCCTCATCAGGCCGTCGACCTTTGACAGGTAGTCTTCACTCTTCTCATCTTCTCCCAGGTGATGGTGCAGCCAGGCCAGATTCCCAAAGTTCACCATCAACCAGGGACCTTCATCAGCGTTTTTCTGCCTCTGGAAGGTCTCAGCGGCCCGGTTGAAGAGGTTCAGGGCGTCTTTACTAGAGCCCAGTTTGTACTGGATGAAGCCCAGCAGGTTGTAGATGTGACCCAGCCAGACGTTTCCCTCTTCAGTGCCGACATCCTCCAGCTCATATCTGATACGGAACAGTTGTCCCCTGCTGGGGTCCAGATCCCAGGTGAAGTGGCACTCCAAGGCCTTCAGTCTGGACTGCAGACTCTGAGGAGAACTGACAAAAATCATAAAAACAAAACATTAATGAAGTTAAAGAGCTTTAGACAGTGGGAATTAAAAATAAAACAAGTATCGTTTGTGCTTTCTTCCACTAATTTTACATTTCTCTATTCCTGCTCCTGCACTTTCTTCTTTTATCTGACTTTCTCTGCTCGGAGCGGCAAAAAATGTATGGTTGAAAAAAAAAGTTAGGATAGGTCTTTTATCTATACAAAGCATGTTCATTACAAAATTTGATATACAAAATCATTCTTAGGCAATGAGATTTTAGTCTGCTCAATTCTTGTTTTAGGGCTTCTTGTCACTTTAAATCCAAATAAGCTGATAGTGGAAACAGTTTGGAAAAACAGAAGTGGAGTCTCCTGCACAAGTGGTTTCTGGTTGGTAGGTCTAAAATAACACTTGCTCTTTCCAGCAGCCATTGTACAGCGCATACAGCGGTAAAACCAGCTGACCAAATGTGTTGGAGCTCAGCTTGAGTTGCTAGGTGATGGGCGGAGCTCTTCTGCGGTTGCTAGGTGACGGGCGGCGCTTTTCTGCGGTTGCTAGGTGACGGGCGGCGCTCTTCTGCAGTTGCTAGGTGACGGGCGGAGCTCTTCTGCAGCTGCTAGGTGACGGACGGAGCTCTTTTGCGGTTGCTAGGTGACGGGCGGAGCTCTTCCGGGGTTGCTAGGTGACGGGCAGCGCTCTTCTGCAGTTGCTAGGTGACGGGCGGAGCTCTTCTGCAGTTGCTGGGTGACGGCGGAGCTCTTCTGGGGTTGCTAGGTGACGGGCGGAGCTCTTCTGCAGTTGCTAGGTGACAGCGGAGCTCTTCTGGGGTTGCTAGATAACCGAGCAGTGCCGATCGAATGTGACTAAATACCTGAGTGTTTTATTAAGTGTTTTTTTTAGAAGCACCAGTGACACAAATGTATCAAAACATGGAAAATGTGAAATTTGCATTAAAGGACCTTTTATTATTTTAAACAATAAATAACTGTCTGACTACATGTAAAAGTTCCCTACAATAGGCATCTCTGCTGTTCTGTGAAGATATATTAACTATTTTCCAACATAAGCAGGTTTATGTGTAAACAGAGTAAAGAAGCCATGGATATGGACCCCTGATAAAACCTCTGGCCAAGTTACGCCCTGGTAGCACATGGTTTTGGTTATAATCTTCCAAGACAATGTATTTCTATAATTAGCTTTGGTAAAAATAACAACAATAAATTAACATAATTATAAAATGAATTTTTCCTTATCGTTTCTCCATCTGACTCCCCTATATCGGAGTATATAAATACAAAAATAGGAATTATTGGTGAAAATGTGAGGTTATTGTCATTAACTTCGTCACTCACCTCATCTTCCAGCTGTTTTCTCTGTAGATCTGGAGGTTTTGTCTCTTCTGGAGTTTTTCTGATGATCTGTAAGAGGCGCAGCTGCGGAATGGTCGCACGGCGCTCGCGCTGAGGTTTATTGTCGGGATGACGTCACGCGGTGACGGGCGAAGCAGGACAGAGCGAGTTTATAGAGAAGAAGAGCGACGTCGCTTCAGTCAGACGAACCTTAAGTTTCATTTTTCCGGGATCGAAACCTCAGCACTGAAACGAAACTTTGGGTCAGCAGGTTTTCTGGCGTCATGTTTTGGTCGGATTGTTTCCAGAGCTCCAACATGGCGGCTGGTCCGTGGATGTTTTTACTATTAGATTTTATAAAACAAAGATGGAAAAACTAAACAAACTAAACAAAGAGTTTGGTCCCTCATCTTATTGTTTTAATCGCCACAGCAGTGTTGAGCTCCAGCCCAAGTCCCAAGTAAAAAAGGAGAAATACAAGAAAGCAGTGCGACAGTCAAAAATGAAAAGGCTATGTTCAGTAAATAAACACATCTATAACTTAAAGAACAATACACTTTTCATAGACTTTGGTCAAATCTTTAGAATTTACTACATCTGGCTTACATTGCAAAAAAAATAAAAAATATGACTACATACATATTCAGCTGTTACACAAAACTTGTTTTATCACAAATCTATTATTGTATTAATTTATTTATGGAAATAAAGTAAGACAACTGAACAGTTCATGAGCAGTGAATGCTGTTTCTTTTGCTGGGGTTGTGCGTCTTACGTCATCACGTCGAGTGTAAATGTAGCTTTCTGCCGGTTCTTCCTGCTTGTTTTTCTCCTTTCTTATTTGGGCTGACATTTAATTTAATGAAGCCGAATGTTCCATAGAGCTGTTCTCATGTCTGTGTTCTTATATCTTAGTGTTAAGTCTCATAAATTGTCTGGAATTTGAATTGAATTTGGCGCCTTAAGATTACGCGTTAACTAACGGTCACTTTAGAAGCCCGCGCCGTTGATGCTCCGATTGAATAATAAAACGCCTCTTTTTTAAAATAAAGCCTTACCTGATAAAGTTAATTGCCATATAATTTCAAGATAGTATCTATACTATAATTTCGGCTATGATCATATTTACTTTACTGATTTAGGAAGTAAGTTTGAGGCACAATGTCTTTATTTGTGTTCTTCAGCGGACTCCGCTTCGGAGTTACGCAGTTTACGTACGTAACTCCGTACGTCAGAGCACTTCCTGGTTGCTGCTGCAGCTGGAAATGGCGGAGCTGAAAGAGGCGGTCGCTTCTCAGCAGCACCAGGAGGACAGAGGCATCAAACGTCAGTAAAACTGCGCCATTTTACCTTTTGTGCGCTTATTTTGCGGAGAAAAGGCGCGCTTTAAATGAATGCTTTAGACGCTGTTTTTGCTGCGCGGTGAATTTAGGAGGAATCTGAGTTTTTAAGTGCGCAGCGGGACGAGGGCCTCAGCGCGGAGCTCCGCCACTGGGCCTAAACAGTCAACAACAGGAGGGACGGAGGCTGGAGGCGCAGAGCCGGACGGCCAGCAGCGGATCTGCAGCTGCAGGCGTCAGTGAAGCGCTTTCCCCAGGATCAAATCAAATATTATTATTATTATTATTATTATTATTATTATTATTATTATTATTTAATGCGAGGCGGTCTCACCACGGAGCTGCGCTGCAGGACCGCAGAGCCGCTGCGCTGAAAAGTGCGCACCTTTTCCAATTTACGCACAAAAACTTGACAAACCGAACTGGAGGGACTGATGGTAGAAAAATAAATCTGTGTTTTCCCAGTTTAATCCATATATTCGTTGGTTGGCATGAAATTCTGATATTAAAAAACAAAGTTGTGCATTAATTATTGCAATTCTAAGATATAAACAACCTTTTTTATTGTATTTACTAACTTTATTTCGCTGCTGCAGCAACAGGTGGGGGAGGGGTTTGTTAATCTCTGCTTTCCTCTTATTGTTCAGTTTTAGACCATAAACTGTTATATGTCATAGTTCCATGATAAAAATCTTAACATTCAACATTTAACAGGTCCATTCAGCTGAGAGTTTCTCATTCAGATTTTATTTTTAAAATATGATGACCTGGTATTTCTGTTTTATAAATTTTTTATTTTAATTTCTCCCGTCTGGATGTAAAGGTGATGAAGACACCGGAGAGGAAGACTCTGCCGGCTCGGCCCCCGCTGCAGGGCAGAGCGACGCTGCGGCTGACGGCGACTCCAAGCCTTCAACCACGACCCCTGGTAAGTCAGCCAACCGTCTGGTGTCACCGACTGGCTGGGAGCGCTGCAGACGCAGGACATAACGGAGTGTTGGGGTTTCCTCCTGCCTGCAGACAGACACATCTCCATCCAGACCAAACTGGAAGGACTGGAGATGCTGGTGGACCTTAATGGTGGTGAGTTCAGGTCCTCAGGAATTTCTCTGCCTTTCTTCTTCTTTTTATTCTCTATGGAGGAAAAAAACATGTGGATGTGGATAAAATTATTATTAGAAGTTGACTAAAATTACATAAGAATCATAAAAGGGGTTAAATTTAAAGTTTAATAGAGAAAATGATGCTGAAATAATCACGTTCAGGCTCTAACTCAAGAATTAAAGGGGCAGCGTTATGTGTTTTCCAGGCACTTGGCAAGTCAAGTCACTATGTTACCTTCAGTTTTTATGAAAACGCTATATATATCAAAAATGGCTTAAAAGAAATGTTACTTCCTGATTTAACACCTTGAAACTGGGCCTCTGTCTCTTATAATGAGCTCAGCAGTTCCAGCAGCTGTTTGCTAATTGCTGCTGGCTAGTCTGAAGGAGCTGAGTCGGGGAGGAGCTTTGCCTCGAAGGCGGGGCTAGGTCCACCCAGGTGTTTACCACAGCTGAATGGTTGCCATGGAGATCAAAGGATTTCTGAAACATGCTTGTTTCTAATGAGGGAAAAACTTTCTGACATGATGGAAACCTGAAAAAATGCTAATTTCTTCAAATCTAAACATATTTTATAAAATGCGGATGAAGAATAATTTTTCCAGCTGAATCCGGATGGTTTGTTCGTGTCTGTCCTCCAGCGGGCCGGAAGTCCTGCCCTCTGTGTCCGGAGGAGAAGTTTAAAGCGTGCTACAGCCACAAGCTGCGCCGGCACCTGCAGAACCTCCACTGGAAGGTCTATGTGGAGTTCAAAGGTAGGACAGCAGAGAGACGCAGCCCGGCAGCTTCAGCCTGATGCTGACCTTTGACCTCCGTCTCCCTGCAGGAAGCAGGATGTGCATCTGCCACCTGGCCTGCAGGAACCCCAAACCCAGCCTGAGCGGAGACCAGGTGAGGCGTTTCCCTCCACTCGTCGTCAGGATGGACGGTAGAACCATTTAAACTGGCGCTGGGACGCCATTTTCATTTCTAATCATGTTAATTGCAGGGTGTGTATTAATCAGTTTAATTTTAATAATCAAAATAAGCAACACTTCCAGTCAAAAAACATTTTGCTGCTAAATTATTGAATAAACATCCAATTAAACAAAATATTTACAGTTCAGCTCTCCAGGTTCTTGGCCTTCAGAGCAAAGTGTTTCAGGAAGTTCTGATCCAGTTTGTTTAGGGACATTTGACCTAAACAAACTGGATCCAGAATGAAAGATATCAGCAGATTGAAGGTCACATAAAAACCTGCCCAGCAAACAGAAGCACGTTTTTTTATCTGTATAACAAACTTTAAGAGAAACGTCATTCTGTTCGCTGATGACAGCGATCTAAAACACAACTTCAATAGAAAAATGCCACCAAACTTTGAGAAGTCCCTGAAGCGGACTGGGTTCTGTCCGTCTCCAGGTGTCGGGTCGACACATGGCCCACTTCCACTGCGTGGTGTGTTCGGTCACCATCGCCCGGAAGACGGACATGATCAGCCACCTGAAGCGCCACTTCAACAAGGGAGAGACGGAGGCCAGTTACCCCGGCGGCTCAGACGCTCAGATGGACGAGCCCGGTGAGCGCCGCCGTCACAGCGAGCCTGACGGAGGCGGACGCTTCGCTCACGATCCCGTTTCTCATCCGCAGCGCCTTCGGGTCAGGCCTACGAGATCCTGAAGGAGCTGGGGACCAACGTCCAGCTGCTGCCGAACCACAGCACCCCGATGAAGAGCGACACGTACTTCAACCGGAAGATGAAGACCAACAGGTGGAGACGGGTGACGCCGCGTCTGTTTCTGAGTGAAAAGCATCGGCTGAAGCTGAAGCTGCGTGTTTGTGTTGCAGGCAGCTGGTGTTCTGTTCGCTCGCGGTTCTGGCCGAGGAGAGGAACCCGCTGGAGTGTCTGGATGCTTTTGGAGCCACAGGTGAGACGAGATGAAACAGAAAAACGCTGATCTGGACAGAGACCAGCAGTTAACACTTTTAACAAACTCTCACACCACGAACTTAAAAATGTCCCACAATGACAAAATCTTTACTTATACAACAGGAAATGAAGCTACTAGTTACTTAACCCTCATTGATGGGTAGGATAGACCTGCCTTTGTTCTGAGAAACTGAAGATTTGTCCTGCAGACATGAATCCTCTCTTCATCTAAGCATTCCTGCTGTTTTTCCTTCCACTGATATCTTCAGCTTTTCCTTTGAGTGAGCCGGTCTTAAGCCACTTATCCATTATTATTTTTAAACACAACAATACATGCAGTACCTTGTGGACCAGTAGGGGGCGCCTGCAGCCCACAGCCTGACGTCCAGCAAACTGTCTTCATGTGAAGAATCAATCATTAGGGTCAGTGCTGTGAGGAAGAGGTCCTCTGTTTTTGGTTTGATGATCAGAGTAAATCAAAAACTGTTTTCAAATGATTATTTTATTCATTAAAGGAAAATGGATCATCCAAACCAAACTGAGCTTAGATGGAAAAAGTACCTGAAAACTGGCAGCATCAGCTGTTTGTGATAACTGGGAATAAGTCTTTTACTTTGGAGGAACGGTGACTCTTTCTGTGTTCCAGAACTTATTTAATTCAGCCACTTTGGAGAGTTTTCAGGTCAGACTGTTCAGCTCCATTTCATTTATTTCTACAGCGCCGTTTCACAACAAATGTCTGGAGGCACTTTACGAAAACCCTCATTTCAATCCAATCACACATCAGTGCATCAACGTCAGTTTATTATTCAAATTAGTTCAAAAAGTTTCTATGGAAACCCGGCAGAGCATCGAGTCGTTACCTGGCAGCATTCACTCCTCCTGGACCAGCAGGGGGCGCCAGCAAGCCGTCGTACGGCGCATGCATGCAGCGACAGTGGAGAGGAAAACCTTATGATGACTTTCTGAAGGCAGGTTTCAGAAAGAGCAGGAGCTTCTTAAAGAGACAGAGGCCCAAGTTCAAGACATTAAAACAGGAAGTCAAAATTCTTTTAAGTCAAATAGCATTTTTATAAAAACTGAAGGAAACATGGTTGCTAAAGGGCCTGAAAAACAAAAGCTACGGCCCCTTTAATACACCGCACTGTAAAACAGGCCGGTGTCCGGCTCTGTGCTGCTCGGTGGAACGAGGTTCTGGAGTAAATGACCTTTGGGTCGGAGTACGGAGGAGTAACTGAGTGGGTTCTGCTGCTCCTCAGGCATCATGGGCCTCCAGTGGGCCAAACACCTGCGTAGCACCGTCAGAGTGACCATAACAGACATCAGCGACACCTGCGTCAAAATGATCAGAGAGAACTGCCAGCTGAACAACATCCGGGCCGACGGCGGCTCCCGAGGGCCGCGGGGCCCCGACAGGGCCGGCTGCGAGCCGGAGACGGCCCCCGTCGCCACAGTGGAGGTCGCCAAGATGGACGCTAATGTCATCATGCATCTGCGGCCGTTTGACTACATGTAGGTTGACCTTTAAACCCATCCTGAAGTGTCTGATGTCAGTCGTAAAATGCTCTGACCTTTAACCTTCCAGCCACCTGGATCCTTTCGGCACGGCCGTGAACTACCTGGATGCTGCCTTCAGAAACGTCCGGAACCTCGGCATCATCTCTGTGACGTCCACGGACACGGGCTCGCTCTACGCCAAGTCGCCCAACGTCACGCTGCGCCACTACGGCTGCCACATCGTACGCACCGAGTACTACAAAGAGCTGGCAGCCCGCATGGTGGTCGCCACGGTAGCCAGGTAGGCCGCCCTGCTCAGGCCTAACGCTCAACGCAGATCAATCCAACTACCTGTGCTGACCTAAAAGCCTCTCAGAGTTCACAGCAGCCGTTATGCATCGACACGCAGGGGGCAACAAACAGCGAAAGATGAGGTTTCCATGGCAGCAGACAGCAACAACAGTTTAACATTTTTAATCTTCCTGGTGTTGCGTTGTGTTTCTCGCCCACGTGTTCATGTCTAAGTGTACTCGGTCACAAATTCACATAACGAATTTCGCCAGTCGCTCGTCTGGATGAGGACCAGCGACTTTCGCCTCATCGCTCAAGTTCCACAGGAAATAAGTGGAGAGTTTCTAATTTAACGTTTAAAACAAAATGGCTTCCTTTAAACCTTTCTGAATATAAAAACCTGGAAAACCGAGAATCTTTAGACACGTTTGAGTTAATAAAACATTTAGGCGGTTTTTGATATGGGCTGTATGGGCAGTGGCCCGGGGTGGCATCAGAAAGGGGCGGCAGGATGACGTATCGTTTCCTTCTGCTTGCTTGAGTCGTGGAGTAAGTTTCCCTTTGCTGCTGTTCTGGGAGACTTTACCTGTTTTCTGCTGTGAAATCAGATAATTGGATTTTAATTGGTCGGAGTGCGGCAGGAAGGTCCAACACCGCTGCCTGCAAATTTATATTTCCAGTTTACAAAATTAGACATAGTGATTAATGACAGCGCTGCAGTGTGATTAATCTGACCATAATTTAAATGGACTGTTGTTCTTAATGAAGACTTTAAGCCGTTCAGTGAGTTGTTCCTGTGACGTCCTGCAGGGCGGCGGCGCGCTGTAACAAAGGCATCGAGGTTCTGCTGGCCGTGGCTGTGGAGCACTTTGTGCTGGTGGTGGTGAGGGTCCTCAGGGGCCCGACCCAAGCAGACGAGTCGGCCAAGAAGCTCCGCAAACTGGTCCACTGCCAGTGGTGCGAGGAGAGAGTGTTCCTGAAACTGGGCAACATGGTGGACGGTGAGCTGCGTTCAAACTGTCGACGACTCGCTGCTGCACACCTTAAATCAGATAAATGAAACTCTGACGCTTCACCTTTTGCTCCAAATAGAAAATTATTGTTTTATCTCAGTTCAGTCAAAAAGGAGTTGGATATAATTGTGCAGAAAACGAGCATCGTTCAGATGTAGCTGCTGTTGGAAAAATGTTGTTAAATTGATATTTATATGTGTAAAATACATTTTTCCTCATAACCTGCTGTTAGTAAAATATATTTAGTTTTTGTTAAGCTTGCTTCGTAAAAGTTAGTTCTTCTTATTCAGTCCAGCTAAATTTACTCTGATTGTCTTAGATTATGTTAGCTTGTTCTAATCTATCTTATCTTAGAATCTAAGCTGACAGATCTATGCTAATGGAGAAATGATCTACACCAGGAGGAAATGAAGCCGTTTCATTCCAGTGTTTTCTACCTGTGGCTCATCTAGAAACTGCAGGACAGCAGAGGACTGGAGTTTGACACCCTGATTAGTGGCACAAACATTTGTCCCCGTCTTTCTCTAACGGGGATCAGTTTACAATCAGATCACAAGCTGTGCCTGCTAGCTTGTTTTAACTTGGTCCATCTTTAAGGGAAACTTAGCTTAATTAATTTTAGCTTATATTATTGACTTGATTTCTTTGATTAGTTTGATTTTTGTGTTGTTTAGTTTCCTTTATTAGCATCTGGAGCAGAGTTTCTCCACCCTGCTCCTCAGCCTCCCTGTCCTCCATGTTTCAGGTGTTTCTCTTCTGACACACCTGGATTGTATCTCTGGGTGATGAACAGGATCTGCAGCTCCTGATGGTCCTGCAGAGCAGGAGGCCTGAGGACCAGGGTGGAGAAACACTGATCTAGAGTATCATAGCTTAGCTCAGTGACTAGCATTACCATAGCATCGTTTAAGTTAGATTCACTTTAACTTCAGTGTTTGTGTAGCTTAGCTTTTTTTAAGCTTAGCTTAAAAAAGTTTTTGTTTCTAATTTTGCTTCATCTTAACCTAACTTCTTGGAATATGTTGGTTTTGTTTGTTTAGTGAAACTTTATTGGCACATTGTCATGTGGCGTCTCATTTATTTTATTTTAGCTTAGTGTAATTAGCTTAGACTCATTTAGCTGGATTTAGCTTAGAGTAAATGATTTTAGATGATGTTAATATGTAATCTTTGCTTTTCCCAGACAATTTTTGCTGCATTAGGAGGAAACTAACTTTGACCTGCAGGATAAATTCTGTTTTAACTCCTTTTCTTCAGACACCGTTCCCTGTAACTGTCATGGAAGTCTGCCTGGAAAGACGGCGGTGCAGCTGGGACCTCTGTGGTAAAAATCGAGGACTATAAATTAAAACTGAAAGCTTCTTTCTAAGTATAACCCGGCTGTGTTTGCAGGGCCGGGCCTCTGTTCAACACCGGCTTCCTGAGGAGGATGCTGTCTGCCGCCGTGCAGCACAGCATGGACGACATCCAGCCGCTCGTCAAAACGCTCATCTGCGAGTCCGAGTGCACCACGCTCAAGTCGCTGGTGCACGGGTCGTCAGTGCTCAGTAACCAGGGTAACCGCCTCAGCTCCGACGCCGCCTGCTGCACCTGCAGCATAAAACGCTGAATGTTGTGTTTGTGCTGCAGTGGAGTGTGGAGTCGTCATCAAGACGCTGCAGAGCGGAGAGGATGGAGGTCCAGCTGATCAGGCCGGTCAGTTTCTCTGCTTTTAACTCCGTCTGCACAGGAAGCAGCAGCTGTAACCTAAACGGCAGTGGTTCTGTTTGTCCTGTAGAGGGCAGTGTTGGAGAATTTACAGCTAAATGTTTTCCTGCAAACTAAAAGTTTCAGGGTTTTTACCAAAACTCTGCATGATGCATGCTGACTCAGTGAAACTTCTGCAATCATAACTCAGACTGCTGAACATTAATCGTTCAGTTTTTATTTTTTTTAGTTTGGACAACCATCTTAAATTCAGTGAATAATAATAATAATCATGTAAATAATATTTCTAACACATAACTGTGAATAAGAAACAACATTGAATATCTGTACAGGATTGACCTTCTGTTTAAAATACCTCTACAGTCAGGATGGGTTTTATTTCCCCAAAAAATCACTTTTTAAAAATAGTTCTAACAAAATTTTCCACATTTTCTGCTTTTTATTTGGCCAAATATGTAGAGATTTGTTTCCTTTTTAAACAGTCACCAGAATACAAAATATTTATGTATAAAATCCCACAGTATGTTTTGTGCATCAAATAAAAATGTAAAATAATTTTGCCAACAAGAAAACAGATAAAAATGAAAAACTGCTGTGGTTCAACAGAACATCAGGTTTATAAGATGTTAAAGTTTTTCCTTTGCAGTTTTTAAGAACTCAAACATTATGTGCAAAACTAAGAATCTTGTTTTAATATAAGAGGAAATCTTTATATTTAAAAGCTCAATCATAAAATACTGGATAAAGTAAAAGCTTGTGCTCATTTGTTCATCGTTTCTGTCCGTCTCATCGCCACCGAGGTGAAAACCGCCTCAGCGTTTCTCTTTCACTTCATGTTGGACATTAAAGTTCAGCCAAATCTGCAGCAGCAACTTCAAACGAGGCGATTCAGTTTCTGTGAATCTGCTGAGCTGAACTTTGGTTTTCTGCAAATGAAACAACTTGAAACAATCTGACTCCTTCTCACAATCCAGCATTGTTCTCTGACTGGAGTCAATGTGTCTCTTCCTGCAGAAAAAGCTTCAACATTTCATGACTCGGCTGAACCGATCGCTCAGGTTTACTCTGAACATCTGCAGTCCTCCAACACTTAGAGCGCTTTCATCTGGAAAGTTTCTAATCTTTTCATTTAGAATCTATTTTTACATTTCGCTTTGATCTTAGCTGAGATATCCAGCTCTTTTCCAGCTGCACATTTCTTTAGTTAACTCTAGTCGTCTTTAGTTAACTCTAGTCGTCTTTAGTTAACTAGTCGTCTTTAGTTAACTCTAGTCGTCTTTAGTTAACTAGTCGTCTTTAGTTAAGTTTGTTGGTAACAAGCCGTTTCATCCATGCAGTGATTCTTAAGCCTGTTTAAGTTTAACAGGTTCAGTCCTACAGCAGTTTAATACTTAGATTTCAGTTAAGTTTTATTTTACCAATTTGTAATCATGTACTGTCATGTTAAATTCATGTAAATTATACTTATTTCATTTTATTTATTTCAACAGGTTTTTAAAACAATCAGGACAGGAGGAAAATAACCAGAACAAATAATTAGCTTAGCGTTTCTCTTTTGTTTGAAATTTAATCCGACATCTTTTCTCATTTTAATATTACTTACAATAATTGTCAGAAATTTGTAATAAAACCATGTTCAGATATTCTTATGCTTGTTCAATATGCTGTGTTAAAGAACCAACAAATTATATTACATGAATAAAATCACAAACTATAATAAAAAAGGCAAGAAAATCTACAGACCCAAAATAAGAAAAACAATAATAATAATGACAGAATAATTATCAAGTCTTTGCCAATGTGCAACTATAAATCCCTCATAATCTGAGTTATGTAACAGTAAGATAATAATAATATTCTAATAATGGGAATGTAGATGAGTGGCAGCATAATGTTTGTGTTCCTGCAGGGAAAAGGAAAAGCGGGGAGGATTGTGGGAACGTTGTGAAGAAGCTGAAGCCGGACGCGTCTCTGGATCATCCTGCCTTCTACTACAGCATCCACCGGCACAGCATCCGCCGCATGAACATGCCCAAGTGAGTCCGGCGCCGGGCCGACGGGACGCTGCTGCTTTTCACTCCATTGAAAACCCAGCCGGCTCGTTTCAGAACCCGACCCGGTCCCGCCCATCTGACGGTTCTGCTGCTCTGCCTTCACAGGTTGAACAAGTTCCTGCAGTACCTGACGGAGGCCGGCTTCAGGGTGAGCCGGACCCACTTCGACCCGACCGGGGTCCGGACCGACGCCACGCTGCAGCAGTTTAAGTCCGTCCTCACCAAGTACAGCGTACCGACCGGAACCAACACCGGCGCCGGCCAGAGCACCGCGAGCTCCGAGAAGGCGGTCTGAGCCGGGGACGCCGCTCGGCTCCCTGACCCGGTCCTGACCCGGTCCTGACCCGGTTCTAACTGCACTGATGGACCTTTATTAGAGCACAAACTGATGAGAATCTATTTAATTTACCTAAAAACAGTATTTTAATCGTTTCTCCTTTTTACCTTAATTTGTCTCTTTAGATCCAGAATAAAAATCTTTTCTGAAAATAATTTTTTTGCAGCTGTTTCATACGGAGCCTCCAGGGAACATGGGAAAAATTATTTTTCTTTTGCGTTCCCTCGCAATAATCTACTGATCAGTTCATGCGCCATGACTGATACCGTCAGTCTTTCTTACGGGCCGCCGTACTTCCTGTCTTAATATAAGATTATGTAAAGGTTTCTCCGTGAATGTTAATATCTCGTTGTGAAATATGACATTTTATCTCTTTTTCTTTAGCACCACAAACCTGATATAAACAGAAACTTTCCATAAATGGGAAAGAAATAAAAATACATCATAATTTCTGAGTTATCGCGGTTAATCAGGCATCTGATTGTCTGGTTTAAAGTGCTGCTTTCAGTGCCGTCAGCCTGAACAGACATAAACATGCAGTAAATAAATCGATTTTCAATCAGTTTTTTTTGCACCAAAGCGTTAATAATAATAAACACGTTTTCACTGAGGCTCTATAAGAGCAATATGAATGAAATAAGTAATTATCGATATGACAGGAGCAGCAGCTTTGACACCTGGTGGTGGGCGTGTCGATGTGGGCGTGACGTCACCAGGTATGAATGGGACGGTGACGCTGCGTGTGTTTGAGGAGGCGGGTGGTCGGTCCTCACAAAGGTTGGAGCATGATGATCTAAATGGAATAAATCGATAATTGTGACAGAACAAAGGCTTGTTGATTGATACAGATGAGATTCCGTGAGATCCTACATTTCCCACAATGCAACCTGCCCGTTAGTGAACCTGCTTTGTTTTTCTCTGCAGGGATTTTATTAATGTGTCTGAGAACAGATTAAGTTTATGATCTGTAGTTTTAAGTTATCAGGTTTAGTTGAAAATATTTAACAATATTATCATTTATCACAATTACTGGGACAATTTATCGTCCCGTAAAATGATCGTGTCAGAAACAGGCAAGTTTCAGCTGTTCCTCCATTTAACGCTAATATAAACTAACCAATCACAAGCTTTCAAACCTATGACATCATCAGCTGGGAATTCCCAAACTGTTCAAAGCCTCCTGTATGTAAACTTCTGGATTTAAGGATGATGATGAAGGCTGGGCTGGATTATTTTATATTCCGGGATTATAATTTTGTTTCTGGTTGTTGAATTTTATTTAGATGAAAAATTTAGATGATAAACCTGCGGTGACCATCAGGAACCTGCAGGTTTGAAAAGGAAAACTGGTTTTCTGCGTCCCTGAACGATCCTCCAGGAGGAGGAGGAGGAGGAGCAGTAGCAGAAAGAGGAGGAGGAGCAGGATGAAGAGCAGGAGGAGGAGACACCCTCCTCTTCCTCTCCGCAGAGCCGCTGATCCAGTTCGCACCTGCGGCCCGAGTCTACCTGTGGATCCGGCAGCAGCAGCAGCAGCATGGGGGTCTCCGCGTCCAGCCTGCTGGATGAAGCCAAGTCCGCCTACATCAGAGGTAAGACCCGGGGGCCGCGGACTCTCACCGGGCGCAGGGGAACCTGGACCGGCCTGCACTAAGAACAAAGTTCTGGTCTGCGCGGATCGGTGAAATCAGAGCACTGGATCAGAGTAAACCTGCCGCTGGTTTTCATCCAGAGGGACCGGCTCGGTTCTGGTTCTGCTTCGTGTTTTTCCACGGAGGAACTTCCCGAACCGTGCGGGTCTGCTGCGGTGATCTGCGGGAAGCATCGGGTGGCTCTGGGCGTGTCTGCGGTGACGGCAGGCTTAATGTGCTGATTACCTGAGCCGCAGGTGCAGGAACAGCTGGTGTTCCGGTTCGGATCAGGCTGGGTTTACTGGGAGAACCTCAGCAGGAGTTCGGAGGTTCCGCGGTCCATTCTGGCGGTTCTGCTGCAGAGAAATAATTTGACCCAGTTCAGTCATTCTTCTCACGGTTCGGAGTTTTTTTCTGACTTATTCAGTGAAAAAGGATCATTTCTGTGGAGAAAATGTTCAGGAGAGAAACGGACTTCCTTTATGGAGGGAGGACTGGTTCTGGTTCTGGTTCAGGTCTAGTTCAGGTCTAGTTCTGGTTCAGGTCTGGTTCAGGTCTGGTTCAGGTCTAGTTCTAGTTCAGGTTCTGGTTTCTGGTTCTGATTCTGGTTCAGTTTCTGATTCTGGTTCAGGTTCAGGTTTAGTTCTGGTTCAGGTTCTGGTTCTTTTTCAGGTTCAGATCTGGTTCTGGTTCCGGTCTGGTTCAGGTCTGGTTCTGGTTCGGGTCAGGTTCTAATCTGGTTCTGGTTCTGGTTCTGGTCTGGTTCGGGTCAGGTTCTGGTCAGGTTCTGGTTCTGGTTCTGGCCTGGTTCGGGTCAGG